TATTTATAAAGCTGAGACGATCAGTGGTTGCTGAAATATGTACACTGTGTCAAAACTTTTTGAACCCCCCACGTATTAAGCCTAATCCTTTTTAACCAACGCCACTGCCGATTAATAACAACGTATTAAGCGTAGTCCAACATCAAACGCCATAACGGGTGTTTATTGCTAATCTCAAAATAAGAAAATTACCACTACTGTTTAATAATAATAACGATAAGCAAAACAAAACAACAACCAACACCATATGACAACAATAAAAATTTAGTATTTTTCGCACAATTACTAATACGTAAATGTTAATTTAAAAAGCATAAATATCCTATTTGTATTGGAAATTATGCCTGCTTCCATTTCACTTGTTTATATGTCGTCGAAGAGAGTATTGACATTGTGAATAACTTCCACATTACAAAAAGGGCCATGCATTGAGCCCATGTAAACCATGACGAGCCACGAATACTGTTCACTTATTTTATTACCGAAAAAGACAGCCGACGACAATAAGACATATCAACGGTTGGAGACGCGTTACAAAGCGGAGCGGAAGCATCTACTTACGTACTGTATGTAATCAAAAATAGTACCCTGGACACGTCACATAGCACATGTATTGCTACCAATGTACAATGAGCACCACGAAATGTCTCCAGTCACCCAAGATTGCTAGATTTATTGGGAAAGTAATGAGCTCTCCAGTAACTACGAAAACTTGACCAAGACTATTCATTACGGTATGCGAAAAAAAAACACGTCTGGTTAATGAAATCGTACATCTCACAACAGGCAGACTATGCAGATTAATCAACGCCACCCAGAAAAACTTAATCGTCTAATTTACAGGTATATTGATTACATATGAAGGAGTACTATATTGGAGTTTTCGTTTGTAGGATCGACATTGGAAGATTTCGGCTATAGTAATCTGTGGTAAATGTCAAACCAAAGATTGTATTTAAATTTTCTGTCAATAATAATAAGCGAATAGAGGTTGTGCACAAACAACACATCTTATCTCCAAACCACATGTCCCGGAAAAGCGGCTGACAAGAAACGAGACTCATTCCACAGTCAATAAAGATGTCGACGAAGCGCCAGACAATACCAACGAGAGCTGTAAAAGGCAAAAAAAATAAAACAAACACAAAAATTTGGTTTTTTTTCCTTCTCTTTTACATATATATCGTTTTCACTTTAAAGCATAATCTACACTCTCTCAGTCTTCTTTAATTGGCGAAACTTTTTCAGCCTTTCATGTTATTAGCAAAACGATTTGATGATTGCTTGCATTATCAGGTAACATGCACGCATCACCTTTTACTAAAAGAGAACATACCATTATAGTATTCTTATTCCATTGGTCTTTCATCTTTTAAAAGTGTTTCGATGTGGTACATCGTAGTAAACGGATAAAGATGCGGCCGTGTGGCGTAGGCGCAACGAAAGAGCTTTCGGATAACGCTTTCAATCTTCATGTTTTTCTATTTATTCTGACGGGGGGTATTTTTATATCGAATTTAGTTTAAGTGCATATTACAAAGTCCGAAATCCCCAACTTGCGAATGAAAAATTGAAAGAAATGAGAAAACTATCTAAGTACGAAATGAATGACGAGCTATTATGATTGCGGCAGAGCCAAAATTTATGGATTTATTGGAACCGGCTTATAATTTCAGTTTGCAGGTTGCAACAAACCTGCAAGTGTAATTGCGGAAATATACTTTTCCCCAATTTAATCATTCAAATTATTCGTATCCCTAATGGCAATTTAACATAATGTCCATAATTCATAATAAATACTTTACACCAGCCATATTTTTGTATGCTGACCTACCAAGATTATGTGAATATTATTGTGACATGACAAAACTATATTCTAATCATAACATTGACAAGCAACGAAGATGTGCTCGACAAGAATACCAATACTGAGACTGGAACAAGATTTACCAGAAATACGTCTAAGAGATCACTTAGTATTAGAACGTTCTTTTCCAACTTGGTTGGCATCGTAATTGAAGAAGTGAATCCTCTCGTCTACTCTGCCGTTGTAACTATTCAACATATATTGTATTCAGCTACTCAATTTGACCAGTTTAGCAGGAAAAGTGTAACTTATGGTCGCACTAACTTCAGGAATGCTCACTCCGAATAAGAATTTTCGGTGTAAAGTATTCGTTGTAAAGACAGTTTTTATTATAGATAATGACTGAAAAATATCTGTGACTGTAAAATGTGATATATCTAGATTTAATGCTATACTGTACGTAAATGTTTCAAATCAATTCACAATTGACAATATTGCATATTATCACCGCTATTTGTAGTGTAATGTCCATTTCCGCAACTGATAGTAGCAAAATTTAATTTACCCACTAATATTATTATCACTATTTTCAAATAACTAGAAGTGTCCAGTGTTGGCGGCCGATTTCATCGGCCGGTTTTATGCAATTGAGTTTGTTTAGGGAAATTTGGTAGGATGGAATTTTATTGTAGGAGACATGATTTCCTACCAAAATGCGACATAATCAATTTAACTTCCGTTTTTGTTTTATTTTTTGTATGATGATGCGCGTATAGATGACAATAAACGCAATAAGAAAACAAAACAGTATTTTTAAAAACGCTACAAAATTTAATGATGATAGTGGTAATCTAGATTTGACTAAGTTACAAAATACCGCGGAATTATTAGATAAAGTAAAAAAGCCACAGTTAAAGTGGAAAAAGGTAGTGAAGCCGATACTTTATTAGCCGAACTTAAAGTAGAAGAGAGTGGTAAAGTAAAAGTAAACGAATTATATTTGTCATGATTAAGTGGTTTTTTTATTTCTGGTTCGTTTTGCTATTGGTTCTTTGTTGGTCGACGTCTTGGTTGTGTCGTCGGTTTCGGTTAGTTGGTCTTTTTTTCTTTTGATGGTAGATCGGGAGATTTCTGTTACTTTTGTTGGTGTTTGAGTGTTGTCCGTTGGTTCTTTTTTGACTGTTGTAGTTGGTTGTTTGATTTGTATAGTTTGGTGGACAGCAGCTATTCTGCTTTGCTTTTACTTTCGCTGTTGTTTGTTTTCCAGGGAATATTACTCGGTGTTGTAGGTTCAGATTTGGCACTGACAAATTGTATCTCTATGACGTCGCAATATAGTTGTCCTTCTATTACGTATAATTCGCCATTACAGTGTATCGTAGAGTATTTTCTTGCCGCTGTAAATGTATTTTTGAGACGACCTTCTGGTGGGTGCGTTAATACGACGTCGATTGGTGCGCACATGTCGGCGGATAAGTACGGTGTTACTTCTAATATCATATGATAGCCCGATGTTGTCGTGTTGCAGGATTCCTTTACTTTACCCAGTAGGCATATTAGGGGTTTGCAGGTTGGTATTGCTTCTTTGGTTATTGGAAGAGTTTTGCAAGATGATATGACAAGCTCTAAAGTTTTGTCTGGTAGTATAGTAAATTTTCCTGTTGTGAAGTAGGTCGTTTCTTGGTGAATTTTTTCGATGTAATTATCGTCGTCGTCGTTAATGGTGTTTGGTAACCAAAGAGTGTATTTGAGAGTTAAAAAATCGCCGTTGCTGTTGGTTTTACAAGCAGCTATTCCTTTTTGTAAGGTTTTTTTGGGGAGTGGTTGTTCGGTGGTAGAAATGATGTATAAGATTGCTGAGATATGAGCGATCATAATTGTTTGTGAGGGAAGTTGTAGGGATGAAAGTTTTTTGATATAGGAGAGTTTGTTAATATAGCGAAAGTTTTGTTGATATAGCGAAAATTTGTTGATGTAGCGAAAGTTTGTTAATATGGGAGGGTTTGCGCTTACTTGTTGAATTTAGACCCGTGTTGGGAATTGAGAAGGAAAAGACTGTTGCGGGGGATTTTTAAATAAGTTTTTGGGTTTCGGGGATTTTTTCTAAAAGCTCCCACATTAGTTATTATTTGTGGATTATTGTTTGTAATAAACGAATAGTAACTTCTCAAGGGTGTGTATGCATGTTTCTCACGAGTTTGTTTATTAATGAAAAATTGAAGTTTTAAGATGATACGGGATACAAAAATGATTAATTGTCACACAGTTATTTATTGAGTTGATCTAATTAATAGTTGTACCAGAGTGGTGGGAATGTTTGGTGTGAGGAATTTTGGTCAGGTCATTGGGAAGGTACGTAATCGAAATGATTTAGTTAAGTTGTAGTAATTTGATTGTTAGATTGTATGATTATTTCAGGAATTTTATTATTATTATTTGGAAATATTTGTTTGTTTTAGTAGGTGAAGAATCATGCATAGAAAGGAGGATTAGTGATTAATTTAACTAATTGTTACATTTGTATATAATTATTTTAAATGTTTTTATACTAATGTAATTGTTATCTGCAGGTTATTGTCGGTTGTTGTGAAGATTAGGTTGTGTGCGTGGCATTTGTACTACTGATCGCTTCCTAATTGGTTACAAATGTTATGATTTGTTATCTTGCGCTAGCGCTAGTGAGGAAGGGTTTGGGCTTGCAATTTTTGATATTACTATTACGTCATATTATTACAAGCAGTTATCCGTTTGATTGACGGTAAAAAAATATTACGGTCGGATTCATTGGAAACGTGGTAATTTATTGTAGATAATATGTGTTACGTTAATTTGTGAGAGAAAGAAAATAAAAAATGTAAAGTAAGTTTAAAGCATCGGTAATGGTTGAGATGCTAATGTCTTTAACCTTTCATATTCTTTTATAATTTCGGGATCAGTTATGAATGCGTTTGGATGAAGACTGCTTATATGAACATTATTCCATGTTGGACATCTGCTTATCGCAACGTATGCTTGTCCTGGAGAAAATAGTTGAGAATCGAGTGCAATTGATACGTTGGGAAGTGTAATACCTTGCGTTTTGTGGACGGTTAACGCAAAAGCATTTTGAAGAGGAAACTGAGTACGGGAAGCTCGTTGTCCAAATGCGAGAAAGTATGATGTATGTCGTGTAACCCATTTCATCGTAACACCTTCATGAGTAGAAAACGCTACTTGTACTTTTGGAATTGTTTTGTCAATGTCGACAACTACGCCAATTGTACCATTACAAATACCTTCGTATATAAATGTGTTATTTAAAAACATAACACGTGTTCCTTGTTGAAGACGAACACTTGGTGGTAAATTAGTTTTAGTTTTGAATTCTGTTTGTGATATTTGATGGGACAATTGTACGCCGTTTTGGAAATCGAGTGCTTCTGAGATAAAGAAGCAATCGTTTTCTATTGGGAGAGCATTACAAATAGTTCGGTTAATTGTGTTAGTCGTTTCACAAAGACCGACTATATGTGTTATTGTCAATAGAGTATCTAAAGACTTATCTTCAGTATAGTCTGCAGTTTTTTTTTAAAAGTTTATTCCAGGTTGTTTGAGAAATGTTTCCGAATCTGATTTTTTCAAGCATATTGTAGAAATCTTTATCTTCATGTTGTCTTTGTGATTGTCGTAGAAAAAGTGGATAGAAAAGTGACCATACCGATGAATAAAATACCGGGGATGCTCGAACAGGAGGAAGTTGGGCAAGGTCTCCAACAACAATAACATTAATTCCGCCGAACGCTACATTATTTTCATGTAGTTTTGCAAACAAGTTTGCAATAAATGTAAAGAGAGAGGCGGATACCATCGATATTTCGTCAATGATTATTGTTTGGATATTTAGTAACATTTTCTTAATCTCGGGATCATGATGAACAAGTGTATGGAAGCCAGATTCTGATTGTGTAATGCGTAATGCTGAATGTATCGTAACACCTCCGATATTTTGGGCTGCAACGCCTGTGGGTGCTAGGAGCAAGTATTTTGCTTTGCTTAGGTTTAGCCAGTTAACGATTATTTTAATTAAATGTGATTTTCCTGTGCCTGCAGATCCAGTAAGAAAGAAGAAAGGCCACCTTTTTGACTTCAGTGGACCAAGATTTGTTGTAATGATGTTGAGAACTTGATATTGTTTTTTTGGTAAATTTAACATTACCATATGAGGGACGATTGGAGGGAGGCGCTTAAGTGAGTCTAATTGAATTTGGAGAATATTTTGTATACGTGGTGACATGCTCGCGTTTAAAGATTCTAGCAAGGTTGTCATGGTTTGGTCGAATTGAATTTGCATAAGGTGTTGAGTTGAAGCTGTTAAGTTTGTATGGGAATTATTGAAAAAGTTTGGATGAAGGCTGAGATAATGGTCTCTATAACTGTCAAAACCTCCCTTCAGGTCGTCTTCTCTTCTGCATGGTAGATTTAATAACAGTTGTTGATAAAAAAACGATTCCCCGTCTTCCACTTTTAAATATCGGAACCTAACTACCAGAGGTTTTGTTCTTTCAACGACAAAATAGTTGAATGCGTCTTGATAAACTATTTTATTATTATTATAGAAATTTTTATGTTAGTTAGTTGGTAGAGTATAGAATTTAATTTTAATGTGCTTACCTTTTTTGCCTTTGTTAGTTTTTTTGGATGAGGACTTTGGTTTTTTTGTAAGTAGATGGTAGTTTTTAAAGTATTCGGGGTATGTAAGCTTATTGAAATTTTTATTATTTGGACGGGCAAAATATTTCTCTATACAGTCTTTCCAGTACGGGTCTTCATTCTCATCGGTAATAGCAAATATCGGTTTTATTGCTTTAATACGGGTAGATGGGTGGTCAGTTGGAAGATATTTTACTTGAACGGAAGAATTACATATAGTTTCCCCAAGTAATAAAAACATGCATTCCATAGAACTTAATCGGCGTGCAATTATGTGTTCTCTATAATGGTCGCCATCCGATATATTGAAAATATGGGATGGTTCTGCTTTGGCGACATATTTTGTTAAATATTTGCCGAGTCCTCTTGACGTCACATACTGTACATTGATGTGTGCATTCCAAAACATAAGTGTCTCTGGGTGGTAAGGGACAACCCATTGATCTTCAGGTTTTACGCATCGATATATATATCGTAGTTCATCCGTTTTATAATAGGTTTCTCGTGCAAATGGTCGAGGAAAATTTTTTTTGCACGTATGTCCTGGGGGTGCTGGACCTCCACATTTGCTATAGTTACAGGTGTGGATTTTGATGTTGTTTGACATAATTATATAGCTCAGGTTCTAGTTCGGGGTTAGGCAAGTCTGCACGAATGACGTTGTGAGCTATCATTTCGTCAATTTCTGCAGAAACCCATAAACATGTATGGGTATGTGCAGCCCCACGATTTTGGAACTCAACTCGTTCGAAAAAGTGTTTAATTTTACCCCATCTACTATTTTCTGGTTTTGACCAAACATTATTCTTTATTTCCTGCTTTAGATGAACGAAGAATAACGTGGTATGGAGAGGTCGATTACTAGGAAGTGGATCACCGTTGTCTGTTGTTTCGAGGATTTCTTTTAGATGTGTCCATTTACCCTCAGCCATAGTTAAAGTAATGAAAAGTTTAGGTAGACCGAATTCGTCGGTCATAGCATTTACATGCAATAATTTTTCATGAAAATAAGTATCGCCAGTGCGCAAGAATGTAGGTAAGGTAATTGTCTTAGTTTCATCAATTTTCGGTTTATTATCGTATATACTTTGTGTTATTAATTCTGCTGCGGTTGGCGGTTTAGAGACATTAGGTGTTTGAGTTTGTCTCCAAAGACGTGTAGTGTTTTGGTGATTTCTGAATTTTTCGAGTTGCATGTAAGACCAGGAGGGCCAGTACGGATGTAGTCGGAAACGGGGATCAACGCATAACAGCCTATGTTTAATGTATTTCCCATATGTTTCTATTTTGATTGTATTATTATTAGGTGTCGATTTAAGTTCATGATAGTGACCTTTTCCATTCGGAAACAAATCGGGAAATAATAGGGGTTCTAGTTCTGGGTCGTTAAAGGAAAGTGGAAGAGTGGTGTTACTAGAGTTATGTACAAATCCTGCCATGAGACGTATATAATGAAAATCTTCATCATGTATCTCTGATGGGAAGTCATTGTTTGGCATTACTACGTCTCTTTCGTAGAATGGGGGAGCTCTCGTATCATTGGATATATGTTGAGCGGTGGGGAAAGTTTGAGATATTTTTGCCGAGTTTATTGAATAAGATGTTATATATTCTGTTAGTGGCTTAATATAACAATTATTCTGACTAAGCCATCTAGCGGCTACAATGAGGTCTGGTGTAAGCCAGGTCTCTTCTTTATCATTAGACAAAAACGCTCCTACTGTTCCAGAATAAAGTTTGAGAGTACGCATATTTCGAGAAAATTTCATATCTCCAGTTAGCTGGCGATATTCGGAATATGGGTTGCCATCCGCACTTCTCCCAAGAGAGCAATAGAGAAAGACAGGGGAAAGAAATCTTCTTCGCATTATAGGAATGTTTTCGATCTCTGAAGGTATTTCATGTAAACGTGGACATAGGTATTCTTTAGGCTTAGTTTTACAGCCGGAACAAACGGCGACTTTTGGGTTTTCAACATTTCCAGAGAAAATTAGGTCAATTTTGGGAAAATAAGTTTGTAGAGGATAATTTGATTCTTGTTATAAAAAATCCATTTTGCTTTTTGAGGATAGAGTAGTCTTGCACAATATACGCAAGGCACACAGACATGTTGATAAAGAATTACATTTTGGAATTTCGTATATAGTCTACGTAAACGCGTGTTAAAATGCCATGGGGGAATGACT